TCTAGAATAAATGCTTTATCGTCGTTACCCGAAATAATTGAATATTGCACCTTCCCATTCCGCCCTTTATCAGGGTCAGTAGCTGTCACTGTCATTACCTCATCGCCTCGTTTTGCTGTCGAGGGCACAGAGACCTCGTGATTATCATTAATGCCGATAAATATTGGCGCGTTGTCGTTCTCATCTTCGACGGTAACAAGCACCTGCAAGCGCATGTCCGTTATGCCGTCCGTTACTATGACGATCAAGGTATGCGATGGTGCGACTTCACGATCTAACATCTTCGTAGTCTTAATCARACCAGTCGAACGATCGATCGAAAATCGTTTACGAGCGTTATTAATGATGTTGAACGACAATTTTTTACCAGGAAACGGTGGATTTAATACAATTCGACCAACTTTAGCTCCTTTTTTCTGGTTTTCTCTGACTGTAAAATTATACTGAAACTTTGCGCATACCACTATGACCTTKACGAATGCGGTACCGGTCCGTCGTACCCGCCCATGGTCTTTGGCCTCGATTAACATTTTAAACGAAGGAGTAAACGAGCACCACAATTTTGGAACAACTCTCAGTTCTCCTGTTCGCTTATCAAACTGAAAAAATGCTGCTGGTTTTGTTATATTCTTGTTTCCCATCTGCATGTACTTGATAGTGTATTCCAGTAATCCTTCCCTGCCAGTGTCTGGATCTTGCGCTACAAGGGTAGAAATCAGAGATCCTGGTTTCGAATCATCAACAACATTTAAATTGTAAACACGTTTAGTAAAGTTGGGYGCATGGCGGTTTTTATCTGCAATCCTCAGCARCACWGAATAGTTAGCGTCTTTAAATGCAGGCTTACCACGGTCACGAGCTGTTAACTTTATCTTGTATTTTGCCCGACGAGTTAAGTTCAATGGACGATCAACTTTCAACATGTAACGAGTCTTGAAKATTTTTTGAAGACTGAAGTCGGTGATATGTTTGCTCATAAAGAGGTCAACAATGCTGTTATTCGACCTGGGACTGTCATCGTCGAACACATCAATGATTGCAACGGTACGATGCACGGCAACATCCTCTGGTACTCGGCCATGTTTGTCAGTCAGCCCTTCTACTGGAGTGAAGATAATCACAGGTGCGTTGTCGTTTTCGTCTCCAACCTGTAGAATATAGACGCGTTGAGGGGTTTTTTGCTAAGTTGCAAGTATGCTATTTGAAGAAATATCAATAATAAGAATAGAAACTGTGCAGTACAGCGACGCCACTTTATTTTTTTTGACAACAAAGCAAACGTGTCATGCAGTCCTCGCAATACCCTCATGTCCGCTAAACCAAACCACAAAACACTGCACTTTTGTGTGTTTTGCGTGTGTTTTCTCTACCCAGGCGTCAAAAGGCACTTGCAATATTAAAAAGAAAAAATTAAAAAAAAAAAAAAATTGAATCAGACCTAAAAAAGAGCGAGGACTACGTTTACCCACAATGCTTTGTATCAGAAAATGGCGTCGTCTGCACATTGTCTATTGATTAAATACAGTATATTTCTCTTTTAGAGATGATTTATAAGGTCTTAAAGATAATCTTCTAGCAGGGGAAACTTAGTTTAATGAATGAAAAGCAATGTAGTTACGCTGTTGTTCTGGTCACTGTTTCTTATTTTCTCCGTACATCACGTAAACCTCCCCACCCCTGTAAGATATTGTTTTGTCAAAGCAGAGTTCCCCCTTGTCGTGTCATGTCTTTGAAACAGATACATCTATAAAAGGATATTATGCGAAATAAAAGCCTTCAAAGAAAACCGATGAGAGCCGGGTGAATGAAAACAACCAGACGGCGGACGACGTAAGGCGCTTAAGGGAGGCTCAATGACTCAAAACAAGACAATTTATCAATTAATAATGTTTGTAATCAATTAAATCTAAAAGTTATCAACAATGAACGCTTCGGTAGACACGTTGATCTATGACATGCATCTTAATCATATCTAACACTTCAATAAGTAAGAAAGAAAAACCACACACAGGTCAACTAAGTCAAGGGCGCGTCATCAATAGCTCGCAGGATAATCCAGCCTTCAACCTTTATTATTGTCAGGATTTCACTAAGCACGACAAATCAACCGAGAAATGTTTAGGGTTTATTCAAAGCCACGGTAGACAAGTAGGCGACACGTAAGACGCCATGGCGCGGATTTCTTATAGTTACCCTAAGGGCAACTGCGCGTTAYGGAATAGTTGCGGAATTGAAACGTGCGCAATCCTCTCGCACACCACACGGGTTCTTGACGGAAAAWAAGCAGTTCCAAAAAAACTAATTCAGCTTGTCTACGATCTTTTGAGATAAAAACATGATTGCCAAGTGTGTAATAACGAGTAATTATGGTAATGGTCAAGACACGATGGCGGTTTTCAAGCAGATTTAAACCAAAATCACAAGGGTTATCTCTTTAATAAAAGCAAGTTCGAGACTTCTTAAATTCAATTAACATAGGACACGCCCTTAAGGTGAAATATCTGGGGTTGTTTGGCAACGATAGCGAATTAAATAACATTTCGAGAGGTTTCTTTCTTCTGGAAAAACCTTTTCTTTAGCAATCAAAGGTACAAAGTGAGCTACTATTTGTGCTTTAAGTTAAAAAAATGAATATTGAGAGGTACTAGTAAATAAAAAAAGAGATACCTGAGAAGGGAAAGAGAGTAAAAAAAGCTAAACGCAATAACTGATACATAAACAATGCCGTTTTTGAAATGTGCGGAAAAAGATATTTTTACAGCTAAGTATCTCAAAACAAGGAAAGTCTCCTCTACAGCTGAGCGCAATTATCACAGAAAAACCTAACAACACTGTCTTGGACGATGACAAATTAAGAGCATTTTTAATCGTAAAAAATGCCATCTATTTGACGTGAAAAGGCTGTCTGACACAGCTGTATTGCTGCGATATTCTCATTGACTATTGTTAGCATCGAGCGTGCAAGCATCCAGTCAAAATACATTAGTTGATAATCAATTCTATCATCAAAATACCCTATATCAAAATGGATACGTTTTTTCGTCGTCAGACTTTCAGTCAGACGGTCATAGGAAGGAACTCGTTCAAGGAGATGTTGATCGTGATTTGATGAAACACAATGTTTAATAAATGTATTTATGCAAGAACGACAACAACAAGGAAAAGGATGAAAGAATGAAAACAACAAGAAGGAAAGGGATGAAATAATCGATGGAAAACAGGAAATAAGAAAGAAAAACAGTATCCAGAATGAGCGCACAAAAGAGAAAGAAGGGAAATGAAAATATAAATGGGAAATTTTGAAAAATACTTGAAAAAGAGCCGACGAAGAAGCAGTGAACAAAATTAAAGAAAGACTTATTGTTATGTAGAAAATTACCAGATATTTCAAAAAAGATTGACTAGGGTCAATAATATACGACGCTGTCCCTCAAATTAATTAATTTCAGCTAAAGGTTGTACTACTTATCTACCACCGATAGATAGTAACTAAGCCTCAAGACGGTCAGTTAATCCTAAATAGGCTATGTATAATGAGAATCTATCCCATGGAGTTAACGTAGCCATGTAAGGAAAAAAGAGACTAATTGACTAGTGGTTCATGACTAAGATTCGATAGATATAATCGAGTCACTACGACTCCATCGGACAGGTTATCACTAGATGGAAAACCTAAGCAGTCACTTGAACGATGAACAATATTTCTTAATGCGCACTTCCGATACGTTTAGCAATAAAAATGTACACAAATGGTCCTTAATTAGAAGTCTAACGGTTTCTGTTCGCAGAGCCTCCGTTCAACAAGTGGCAACTGTTTTTCACAGTGCGATTGRTTGTGACATACAATCTAGGATTAGGGCGATCGTGTTTATGCGCGCCATTTCTGAGAGGAAGCCATGACGTGCAGTGTCTTTAATATTCAGCGGAAAACGATAACAAGAATGTCGTGGGGAAGAGAGGTTTATGAATATAAACATTGCTGTGGAATATTGAAAGGAAAATATTGAAGATAAGGACGAAATCATGGTAAAAACATACTTGAACACAGAGTGTGTGTAAGAAAACATAACGAAATGACTTTCTTTTTACAAATGGCGTCTTCAATGAGACTTGATTCAAAAACGTATTTCGCTTCGCCGGCATAATAACATCCCTGAAGGGTTTTAAGTGCACTGTTTAAATGGAACTAAGTGTTTTAAAGTGTTTATTTTTGCAGTCATAGTCAATCCGTTCACAGGGTGGGTTTCAGAGAAGGTAAAATAACCATCAAAATCATCGCTTTACAAAAATGAAGAAACCATACATCAACAGCTGGTTTGAAATACTGTGAGATAACATCCATCCTGTTGCACATGAAAAAGGTGTAACTACCATGGACCAAGAAAATATAGAATGCTAACCATCTAATTATCGATAATTACAGCTTATCTTCACGCATAATTCTTGGTCTTTTAGATATAAGTTTTTTTAAAAGCATGAAAATGAATTAAATAGTAATCTGTTTCGTTGAAGAAACTAATCTTCGGCCATAATCATTTCTGTAAAATATTCCTTGTTTCTTCAATGGATGATAACAATTATCATTAAATATTTTGACTATTGTCATATGTTTTCGCTATTAAAATGCAGGGAGTACATCAGTTATGCAAAACATGAATAMAAAACWGTGATGGACAAACCAAAAAACAGAGTTCATTTCGGAAATATTTGCGCAGATGTATACTCGACAAGAAAAAACGCTTTTTCAATACCCGTCAGGAAGATAGTTTTCTTTTAAGCTAGATGCTGTAGTTTACATAAATTTTTGAAAAGAATATAAAAAAATAACAGTTTTGGTTGCTTCTACAAGTGCGTCAGCTAATATTCTCTTTGGTTTTGATTTTTTCTTGTGTTTTTGTACATTTTTGCTTGATTATATAATGTAGAGTTAACCTTTTTAAGTAGTAACTTTAGCGCGCATGCTTCTGGTCTATTAATGATCACTTTTTTTCGATATTCTGTGTTTTACTTCGACATGGCACAAGTCAAATGCAGTTCGTTTTTATTCAAATCGTSAAGACAAAACAAGGATAAAAAGTGTGCGCTTTTTTTCCATCAGTGGAAAGTCTTAAACAATGGCCCACCATGAGCAAGATACGATCTTTGCTGTAACCTATCGCTCATAACAGCGACAAAAAGATAAGCTAGATTACTGAGCAATAAAAAAGCATACTAACGCTTGTCATTTATTGGCGGACAGTTTTGAAGTTAAGCCACAGTATAGATGAATAAAAAAAGATGAATTAATAACATTAGAAACAGTAAAGACCAACWCACGACAGATTTTCCAAGCCCACTTCAAAACATAAAATTCTAAAGGCTAAAGTTCCATTTTCAAAGACAGATTTAAAATTAGGTTAATTGTTAGGGAGCCACAGAGGTTTAGGGATAGTATTTTTAATAACGTTAATGATGCTCTTAGTACAATTAAGATATGCTTCGCTCTCTTAAATCTCTTAGGCTTTTGTCCTAGAATAAAAGAAAGATTCTTGAGGCTTGCCACACTTAGGTATTCTAAAACACCAGCCGGTAGACCTCTCGCCTGTACGTGTCTATACATAACATTTTATTTCAAAATAGAAAAATCGCAGGCGGTTTTATCTCTAGGATGAAAACGTTCTTTCCAACCAGTCCCAAAAAACGTGATCTAAAAACGTGTTTATGGCTAAAATGGAATTTCCGCTATCTTTGTGGGTTCAAAAGCATTAGTTTAAACAACGATTACAGCATTTCCAAGTTATGTACTTCCGTTGAGAGCTATAATTAGAAGGTTTACGTTTAATATTTTGTCTTGTTTTGGCTCTAGTTTCACAGACAAACTTAAAACATGCAAAACGAAATGTAAAAACGTTGAAAATCTATTTTCAAGGCAATTTCAATAGAAAAGATTTAATTACAACTCAAACTACCTGTTAATTACTGTTTTACCATAACTCCATTGAAATGTGGTATATTGGCAGGCATTGTTCTATTTTCTGAGCATTTTAATAWATTTTATGAGACGAAAGAACACTTTATAAAAGCCTTTGTTTAGGTGTTAAGTTGGACCAGTTTCAATCAACGAAGATTTTAGCCAACGAGAAAAGGTGCGAATATACTCATAGAATACCACGTGGTTGACAGCTAAAGAAAACACTACTTTCTGTATATTATAGTTGTAAAAACAGCTTTTAGCCTTACAGAACAGCAAAAGAAGTCTCAGTAATAGTCTTGATGAAAGGGGGCGGTTTAAGGCGATGTTCAATAAAAGTGAACGTGTGTCAATCTTGTACGAATAGATTGATCCTTTGAGTGTTTTGCGCATTAACTACAAGATTTACGAATATCGCTTTTTCTTATGTTAAAACCTTATATTGATTTGTGTCTTATGTACTTTAGAAAATGTCACATCAATGTGTTACCCATGACTGGGGCTCAAATTCKAACATCATGTCTTCGCGATTTTCGCATACTAGCTCGACGGGCCACCATTAGCGATCTTCGACAGAAGTAAACAAGCTTTCCTGAAATGTTTACCGTGCGAAAAGTTTAATTGTTAGCAGAAAAGGATAGCAAATAGACATAAGTAAACATAGATGTCTTGCTTGTTGTTTTAGTTATTTATGAAATAGTTTTCTTTGACAGTGTTCTCAACTAATTGACTAGAAGTACACAGGCTACTTAGCTGGTCTTGAGCGCTCTGGGAGTCTAACAGAACAAACACCAGAAAAAATATATGATAAACATCTAAATTCACCTAATAGTCTTTTGGAAAACTAGCGTTTGCATTGCAATATTTCTATGCAAATTTGAGTGCCAAATAAGATTAACTTTGTCGAGAATGTTTCGGAAGACTAGAATTATCCAAAGGCGCCTCTTGCTGGGAACATTGAAATTAAAAACAACCAATATGTCATGTGGAATATCACGAAAAAAATATCTAATTGCCTTAATAAAACAACATCGTAAAAACTGATTAAGAAACAGCGTTTTTTTCGCAAATTAACCCCAAGGCGAAAAGGCTATCCAATGAAAAGTAAACGGGCAATGAAAACTGAAATATTTTCAAAACATTTTYTCAAAATACTGCGCAAGAAAAGTAGTTTGCGGTGAAAAAGAGAGGGACCTATGTCAAAGCGTTTAGACCACGTCTTGGTATATATTTCAGGTATGCAGGAAAAACAACGAAATAATTGCTTGACAAAGAGCTTCCTTTTGTGGCATTTTACATTTCACAAAGATGTGGTCATAAAAGCTTACAAAGAAAGCTTAGTTTTCAATGAAGGGGCGTTGAGATGTTAATTTTGAAGCTTTTCAAAAGTAAAGAGCTTGCACAAAGACCAGTAAATGTTTGCAAAGAGATTTTGGACACCAATTGAACTGGACCTTTGGACAATAGAARGGATCAACCTGCAAAAAAAATCTTTATCGGCAAAAAACCGGCTTATCTGACAGCGCGTTTGTTTGGCTAATCATCACCCGGACAAGAAAAAGGAATTTTTAATAAACTTCAAACCACCAAGCCGAAAATAACTCCAAAATGTCACAGTGATATCTGAAAAGGAGTTTTAGGGAGGAAATAATTTGACGGACACAGAGGGGTTTCGTCATCATGGCAAACTCCAAGATAAATGATTAGATTAGCAGCAAGTGMGATGGTTTATTTTGTGTTCGTAAATGAAAACTGTCAATAAAACACGCTGGAGTCAGTAGAGAAAAAAGCCTACACAGTAAGATTAGTGAAATCCGTTTAGATCGGRTTATTAGACAATCGACTAGATAAATTGTATGAYTCAAACTTCATAACAACTCCACAGGTATTCCATWCYAACAAAAGGCTTGAAGGAAACGAGAAATATTAAAATTCGCGGGCTTTCGCATGTAGTTGAGGTAGATTACAGATCTGTTACCTAAAACCACCAGTAGTTCATAGACACTGATTGGAACTTCATTTAGAAATCAGAAAATGTGCAACACGCCGCGCGCGTGATATCCTAGGTCATATATTCTATAAAAAACAGGCAAGCCTGCACGTATATTACATATATTCGTCCTACGCGTCATCCAAGAGTCTGTAAGTTTGGTAATAGTCGGTCTTGATGAAAGACAACCATGTATATAAACTTAACACTTTAGGATTTTCTTAGCTTACTGAAAACTAAAATAATAACAAGTCGGCGGGGTTCCTTGAAAAGGTCGCCAAAACACAAAAAGATCTGCAAATCCCATAGTTTCAATTAATCAAATCTACATACCTCTACTGTTATCGAAGCCGTGGATGGAATACTGTCCGGACCCARGTCTTGTGCACTAACCGATAACGTGTACTTAGAACGATATTCAAAATCTAATGGTGCGGTTGTCCATACAGTCCCCCTTACAGGGTCTATTCTAAACAATCCTTGATATTCCGGCTGTGGGTCCAGTGAATATCTAATTTCGCCATTCTTTCCAATGTCTTTGTCCGTGGCCTTGACACGCACCACAAACGTACCATTTGGCGAGTTTTCTTGTACTGTGCCAATGTAATTATAGCTTGTAAATTGTGGACTGTGGTCATTAGTGTCTGTGATTGTTATATTAAGCACCATTCTGCCTGATCTAGGCAATGGTCTTCCACCATCCACTGCYGTAACAATCAAATTATAAAATGCTTTTGTTTCGCGATCCAGACGCTTTGCATTTACCAAAAATAAACGATTGACGGTAGGACTGAGTTTGAGATTTAGCAATCGAAACATGCCATCATCATTTCCTGAAATAATTCTGTAGCTTTGAATTGAATTATTTCCAATATCTGCATCAGWCGCGGCCGTCAGCGTRAAGCGTGAGTTAATTGGAGCAGACTCTTTGATGCTTAATGCTTCAAAATCCTTRGGAAATTTAGGGTCATTGTCATTGATGTCCAAGATTTTGACTTCAGTTGGCGAGACCAACGTTAGTTGCCCTGACTTATCGCTTACAACGATTTGAATTTGAAACACATCTCCTCGGGCAGAAGCTGGCAATTTTTCCCGATCCAAGACCTGATTTGTGCGTAGAATACCAGTCTTWGCGTCGATTTTAAAAATCTTCTGCGTCGGGTCCTGTATCGCGTAACGAATCGWGAAGCCCCCTTTCTTCAATCGATTGGGCATTTCTGTCTGCGAGACATCCCCAACAAAAGCACCAGGATTCTGTTCTTCTTGAACTTGGAAAAATATCATGTTTTGTTGAGCTACACCGAGTGAAAAAACTCCACAAAGAATGAAGAGTAACGTTAACATGGTCGAGAAGTGATCAATTGTATCAGTGTTACGTGAAAGTGTACTTCAAGCTCGCCGTACTGCACGACACACTCTACAAAATCCTAACTGACAGCGCACCGACCGTATCGACTGGAATTTCAATCATTCAAATTTGCGGGTCGTGAAAAGGTTTCACACGTCGCTCCACCAACAGAACAGACCGGTGATGGACAATCAACAAATACACATCACACGGAAATGCGTGAGTTTACCTGCGTCCGGTAAAACGTTTAAAAACTCACGCCTWGAATTGAACTTGACTGTAAACAGCTCCGTACGGCAAYTTGATGTCTTTGTCAGCTAAATCTGCTCTCGAGAATACGTAAGAGCACCACGTGAAAGGAGGCAGGGTTATGATTTAAACAAAGGAGGTCGATTCATTTATGAGGATTGTGACAATCTTCCACTGTCTTGACTGGCCTTGTGACGTGATGAGTGTTCATTACAATGAATAACTCCCAGGGGAAAATTAAAATCTAATTAATGTCGACCCAGTGCACGACTATCAGCCACACTCGATGTTCAGCTATTTCTTCAGTAAATAGTTGAGATGCTGTGATTCATAACTAGCTGTGTAGGTTTGCAGTAATGTTGTTGTACTCGTTTCCACTTGGTTTATAGCTAATCGATTATCATATCAAAGGGTTTACCGACACGAATGACAAACCACTCTTAAATCCGTCAATCTTGCATGGTCTGTAGGTTAAAACATTAGTTAGTATACGATCTTGAACAGTATGCTTAATTGTTMTAAGGCTTTCCTAGTTGTAACCCTAATTAAATTACATGTCTACTATGTTCAAAACGCAAACATTGATTTCATTGAATGATACTAATAAACTCATGCAATAAAATAATGAGCAGAAAATTTATTATTATCATAGTAACTCACAGAGGCTTACTAAAGGAGTACGCTTGCGATGTTATCGAATGGTTTTTATACAGGGTGGACAATGACACGACAAATTATTATCTGTAGGGGGAAGGGACGTGAGTAGTTGTGACGAGAAAAGAAGAAACTGGAAGCCCACAGATAAAGAAAAGAGTCAGAGCTAAAGTTAACCTTGAGTAATTACATGAATCATTTCTGGATTACATCATTATAATAATTTTGCAAATTTGTAGTTCTTTTCCACTAATTGCCTAAACTGAAAACACAGCCAACAAAAATTGAAAACAGTTTGACCTACATGAAAAAATACGCTTTGAAACAGAGGACTAATATTGGAATAAATAGCAAATAAAATCCAAAAAATCATTGAAATAGCTACGCAAAATTGAMCGCTCAATTTTAATGATAACTCGCTGACTCCGGAAACACAGCAAATGAGATCTATAAGCCACAGGAGATAGACTTAAATTAACCGGACCGTCACAAATCATTGTTCATAAGCAAATAACGTTTTAGAAATTGTACTTATTAATACAGAGCAGCACTGGTAGGAGATTGTATAMGCGTGCCACAAAAATCATGCAAACGTTTCTTGGAAAGAAACTTTCTTAAATGAAAGTGTTGACCGACTTTTGTTATTTGTATACGTTGTTATTACCTTTTCAATTCAAAGAAGTTGTTTTGTAGAACATTTCGCTGCAGTTTTCTGCGAGGTTTTGTCGTAAACAAAGTTTGAAACTAAAATTGCTTGAGTACTGCAATTACATRCGATGTTTAATTAAAACTCCGTTCTTCTAAATAACAAATTATTCATGGTATAAGTAAAAAGGCGACTTTACTACACAAAAGACTGGACAACACGAGTTTGCTCGTTATTTCTAAGAGGATTAGATTTCAGACAATTTAAATAATAAATAAGATTTTTTTCCACAAACCTGGCAGAACAAGCCAATCCTGAATGTCCTTAGCATTGCAAACTTTACAAATTCTTTCCAAATTTTGATTCTGATAATATAACATGGTGCTTTACTCAAATCCTATTATTCGTTTTACTAGCTATCACACTAATAATCAAAATACTTGTCATATGAAGGTATTAAATGAGTGAAAATGAATTTAACAATTTTTTCGTCCAAGCCATAATTGCTTTGTTTGTACCATTTATTTATTAATGTAAGGTCTTAAAACCTTAAACCCCTATACCAACTGACAATTCAGTCATTAGTTTAGAAATTACAAGCCGTATTTGAAATGATTGCTTGCTATTCGGTAAGGATTAGTCGGTAAAATCAAGATATTGCGATCCAAACATGACACACGTTACAGATCACACCTATCACTTGGTTCCGGCGGGTTTTCAAAAGATTCTTTTTGAAAAATAATAGATAAAAAGGAACAAGTACTCACAAAGYAAGACTTTAAAATTTGTATTTAAAATTGAAACTGAAGATCTCTTTAAACTTTTTGACACGAGTGATGAAAGAAAATTTTCAGACAGAAACGAACCGCTGAAAACCAAAATTCAACTTTTTCTTCGAATTGCCCCAAGCTGGCAGGGTATCGAAAGAGGAACTTCAAAAATTCCAGATATCGAATTCATGTTTATCTATTGACTTCAAAGTTGTGATCCGACATAATCCTCAATGACATACGAAGAAATGTTCTCATTTGTGGCACATTATAGAAAAGTGATAATTTTGTCAACCTTTCTTTACAAGCTTAATCTTTTAAAAGCAAAAATGACACTTGACGTAAGGCTATGTTGGAATTTGTGACATAATATGTTCGACAAAGGAAATACCCTCTTGTGAAGGCCAGGAGTTGAGGAATTACTCCCTCGTCAATAACTATTATGTCCAATTTTGGCAATTCTTATGAAAAAAAAACATCAATGTTCACAAATAAGAAAATTTGAAATTGAGRCATTGTTCTCAAAGGAACCATTAGTACGATTCATATATGTTATTGGTACAATTTCGTACATGTTTTTTCTGTGAAAACAATAGCGAGCGATTACAGGTCAACGAGGGAGCTACTGGGATCGATTTACAGGACGACACACCAAGTAATTGTGATAATTAAGTGTGTGTGGAGTGGCAAACGCCCAAGTAAAAATAAACACTGAAGAAGCCTTTAAAAACAGTTTTGATAAGATACCATTAATGTTTTGAACATCTCTATTAAAGGTTTTTAGGATCGTCCTGGATCTWGTGCCATTCACTGTCCGTTGGTCGATATTTTCATGATTTTTTCTTTCAATGTAGTCAAGATAAAATGAATCGAAATGATGATGACTACGTGCACCATCTATTTACGTCATTTCGCTGTCACCAAAATTAATGAGCCGAGAAGAATTTTTCCATAACAAAATTAGGAAGTATATCCAAATTCTTGAAATTTTACGGCTATTTTAAAGAATAAAGAAATACTAAAAATCATCACCTTGGCTTCCGTCGAAGAGAAGAGTTATTTTTGTCTTAAAAGCCATCTTAAGTGAGTAGAAGAAGCCATTATGAGCACAGTGCAAGCTTAGAAGCCTTTTAAAGTTTGCCTAGTTCAAAGTATGCACTTAGATTCTATCAGGGTTAAAGATCATACGATTGTGGCCGAGTACAAATACCAAGCAAAATACTAGTTGCAATATCGRTATTTTCATTTTTGACATACCATTTGCCACTAAATATACGATATGCCCTCTTTCAAAATACAGTAAATAACTACAATTAAATTTACGTTTCAAAAGAAACGGTGGTTTTGCTCACCGATGTTAGGATGCTCCGTTTGMGGTAGCCTTTTTTGTCTCCTTTGGACTTATTAAGTTGATAAGAAAAAATGACGTCTTCTTTTAGCGAGGAATTCTGCTCTTGACGAAGCAAGCAATGATTGGCTAATTTCCACATAAACCATAATACYTTGCGGCATGGAATGAAAAGAAATGCACAGCAAATGCCATCACGAGTCGCCTTCAATTTAGAAAAATAAAGGAAAATCTAGGAAAAGGCGKGAGTCTTGATGTACTGACAGTAGAACTACCAGAATTTACCTTTTTCATTAATGTGGTTTTTCAAGSTCTCATTCTTTCACAGGAAATAGATTACGTGTTAGAAAAACCATCAGTTACTTGAGAGAGAGGGCCACAGGCGAGACAGCAATCCTACCGAGTTTTTGATATGGTCTAATGTGCCGATAGGCATAGAAAAACACTGTTATCTCTACTTCATTCGTCATGTGTTTTTAATGGATTAGGAAACAAAACATTTTATTAAGAGGGTCATATCGTGACCCAGTGGGGGAGGCCACGGGAGATTTTTGTAAGATATTTTCGTAATCTGTACTAAAAGACAAAAGACATGAATTTCATTRCGTGGAAATTACACACCAGCTAGGAATACCTAAAGGTGAAAATCAATAGAAAGGTAGAATTCGCTATTTCGTGATTTATACACAACATCGTTTATCACTACGCCTTGGAGAAACAATACACGGAGATAACACGAGTTGCACTGCAAAACACAGCTCATTAGAAGCCACAGATCGATAAATATTACTTAAATATGGGATTTAATCGATAAAAACATGAATTATGACCCCACTAGAGGTTTGAAAATTTCAACAACAATCTTATAGTTAGAATTTTAGGTCCGAGAAAATATAGAAATCACTAAACTGTGAGCAAGATTAAAATTGTATCTTCTTTCTTACCTACCTTAAGATTTATTCCAAGGGAGAGGTTGGAAGACGAAACAAGAAAAGTCAATGCAAATTTGTCATGAAATTTGTGCTGGGATTCAATAAGTTATGTAAAACCGGCTCAAAGCTTTGCCGTTTACTTGTACGMAAATAGGAATGTCTCTTGGCCGACGGTGCGTCGCAACTAATGAGCACTTTAAGACTGCTTTGGCAGGGAATGAAATGTTTGTTCCGTCCTGCCCACAATACAGCAGCTTTCAATGGCAGCAYGCCGTGAAGAAACCCTTACCGTGCGCTAGGAATTATGGGCTGCATTACGGACGACTAACACCTGTACGCTAATAGTGATACACGGATTCTTGGTAAGAAAATTCTCCAGCTGTTTTGACTTTTAGATCGAAAGCAATCAGTTAGTCCACTGTTTGTARTGATGCTGAGGTTGGCTCTGTGTTTAACAAAATCGTTTGGCTTTGAACAGGAATTTCGTGCCAACAAAACTGCAAAAACGTCAAGAAATCTGGCTTCGTAATAAAAGATAATCGTTTGTGATAGCAAAATGAAGACTATCACTCAATCAAGGCATAAATCACATAAAAAGCAGTAGTTGTTATCGTCAAAATGTCTGTATTATTCCATACACACCATGACAAAACATTACTAGTGAGTAGTCTTACCAAGGCGCGCCTTTTTGCCCATTGAGAGAATTCATGACTAATCAACATAGACGCCGAGTAAAAGTACTTTAAAATTAAAAGTAAAAGGAAGTAACATCAGATAATTATAACACCTCGTGAAAACAACAATAACTTGAGGAATTTCCATTCAAAAATCCGTTCTGCGTTAGCGACACGAGTAGGTTACAGATGTTGCGGTTAATTTCACGCAAAAGAGCAAGATTGTCYCTATCAATATACAACATTTTTGGGGTTAATTTATCTTTGTGAACATCAATATTGCATTTGTGTAAATCTGTGAGGTTTATTAATGAGCACCTTGCCGGGACCATTAGCATTTGAATAGGATATGGCCGCGGAAGTGTGGAATATACTATCGATAATTCGACACAATGCAACAAAATCTTGTTCATCAAAAAACCCAACCACAWCAAATCAACTTTACCAAAATAGAGTGAGGAGAAAAGGCTTATTTAGAGTTTAACCAGGTTTTGCTGATTGTAAAACTGATAATACATCGAATATATGAGCGTTTGCTTGAGGCAACGGAGTCTTGTACAATCGAGTCAAGTTTTATATAAACACGTGTCTACAATGATCTGCTATCAACTATTGTTTTATCGAAACATTTGAACGCTGATTGAGCTAGATGAAAGAATAGAACTGCTTTTAGTATACAAGACAACAGACGCTATGTACCTTTTTAAGACGCTTCCTTGTCAAAAGCAAAGTTAAGTTATAAGTGATGTGAAACTGATATCAAGCAAATTGCTTAGTTCCGAAAGGTTATCTACACACTGCCAAAAAGAAGCTAAACGACTGTGTTYCTTAACCATGTGCTCTATTCATAAAACCCTTCTCAGTTACAACCAGCATTCCAGTCATTTCATAGATGAATTACTGAGTAAACTTAAATCTAAGATAACATGAGATTTCTTGAGAAAGAGCAATTCAAAATAGCGGGGCTGTAAAACAAATCAATTATTTGAAGAGTCGTAAAACCACGAGTTCAAACATAGCGCCGCCATCGCGAAAAACATTAAGTTGAGTAGAATCGATAAGCTTTGAAAGATTTCAAGTTTTTGATGAGATYCAAACAATAGAAAACAGATATTGTCGATACTGTGATAACAACTGAATCAAGTGGATTTTTTGTTGTTGTTTTATTATCTTACCTGAATGTCGTTCTGTCCAGCGTATGAACAAGTCAACCAATATCGACAAAAGATACTGGCTATTAAAGCACCTCGTCAAGTGGATTTCATCAAGAGAATACTCAACAGTGACTCAAGGTTGACTTGCGGTTAGCTATRTATTTCCTTCCTAAGAAAATCTGTAAGTATTTAACGACCTTCTCAAGCTCGTAAATCCTTATTTCTGTCTAATTGAAATCTCACGGGAAGATCGCTGCTCAATTAACAAGAARCACGTCAAATCACTGAATGATGRCTTTATGAATGAGATTTGATGAGCTAGAGAATGTCATGTCACAAGATGTTACGCCGTGTYGCTACCATTYRTGCAACTGSTACGAATGTTTAACATCAAAACTTGTATTCTACATGTAYTCASAGTTGAAACACAATACTCGTTCGTTTCATGTCCAAAACTGCTGSCCTTGACCGTTACATCMCARAGTATCAAAATCGATAAACAATGTTACTGGTACACCAACATGCGCAAAAACGTTTAAGTACAARAATTGCCAAAAAAACATTTCCATTAATGTCATCAATAGATTCTTTCTTAGTTTGGAACAGCAGATAAGAATAAAACATGTTGACAATTAGACATTTTATGACTAGGTTTATCCCTTAATCGAAGTTAATCATGTGTTGGACAATAGAGTGAATATTAACATTTGCAGTGCGTCTTGCACCAGAAAGAAATATCAGTAAAAACAGACTTTCTTTGAAACAATATGGCGAACAGGTYGTCTACAATGCTTGTTGCTTTTTYTTAACTTTCACTACTATCAAGGTCYTCTACTTGCAAAACAATACAAAACTAACAAAYAAAYAGAATATTTAAACAAAACCAAACTTGGCATAAAGWAAATAAACAAACAGACACAAAAACTTAAATTAACAAGCAWAAATACAAGCAAAAAGATAAGCAAATGTAAACATGCAGACCACAGCATACGCAATTAAAACTTTGCCGACAATGTGTCGGGATAYTAAAAGATATCTTCAATCTACTTTGTATTGAGATTCTCAAAATCACGCGCAAAAGATCAATAAATACTTTGATTAGCTTCAGTTAAGTATATTACTGGAATATTAATAA